ATGAAGAGGATATATATTTTAAATAAATAAATTCAACAATCTTTTGACAAAAAAATTTTTTATATTAGTGGTATATAATGACATAAATGAATTTTTAAAAAATATCCGGTAAACCGAATTTATATTAATATTATAATTATATATATAATTAATAATATGAAAAATCCGTTAAATCCGTTAAACCGAGATAAAATTGTTATTATTATAGAAAAGTTTGGTTTTGAAAATTTATCCGCTAAACCCCAAATCCGCTATACCGAGACTCACTGTGTATTAATACTAAATCTTGTTCTAAATTATTTAATGCTTTGTTCGCAAGATCCTGCTTCCATTTCATACACACCCAGAAATTAAAAATCTCCAATGCTTTTCCAAATGGTATGTAGCAATAAATCTTATTTTTATTTTTTATTATAACTAACTAACCTTACTAGGCTTACCATATAAAAACCAACACCCTTGCTTTACAGTAGTGGTTTGCGACGGAACTACCAACTAGACAAATCATTGCGTGAAACTTTGCAAACTGAGCTCCTAAGGCATTACCAACATTATAAAAATGGGGAACGAGACAAACTCTATAGTCCGATTTATTTGTTCATCTCTGGATCTGGCATTGGAAAGTCCCGAAATCCGTCATACAACGATTGAATGTGCACCTAAAGACTCTGAACTAAAAAGTCTTCTTGGGTATCTTTAGCATGGTCAACTATAGATGAAGCAGATTTGATAACATGGTGGAAAGGGAATTTTTCATTAGTTGCCCCTGAACTGACTAATCTTGCTGTATGAATTCTTTTCAATCATACATCTTCAGCAGCATCTGAAAGAAATTGGTCCGCATTCTCATATATACATGATAAAAAAAGAAATAGACTAACATCTAGTATGGTAGCTGCCCCTGGTGGCTCAATTTCGCAGTTTATTTTTGCATGTGTATTTTATGGATTTTTTTTCTATCGTGAATTTATTTCTAGTTGTCATTACACAATTTTAAATTGATTGACATGTATTTTTATAAGAACCTCTAATACCATTTCGCAGTTAAATTGTTCATCTAACAACTTTGTGACCACATCTGATAAAAAAATATTAACCGAAGAGTATCTTGAATGGTATTCTAAATTAACTTCACCTATTTTGATACACAAAACAATTTGTTCTAGGTTATATAAAAATATAAAGAAGAGACTGGAAAATTAGATTAATTTCAAAATCTAAAGGTTCAATTATCAAACAAGCTGCGGGAATAATCTTTTCACAATTGTATTTCAAACATTCAATTAATAACTGATCAGAGTTTTTTTCATTTATATTAATAAAATTTTTTTTTTGTAAAGGTCCAAATTTATCAATTTAGTTGATTTTACTATATATAAACAATGGAAATTTAGATAAACTTTAAAACCTAAAGGCTCAATAACCAAACGAGCTGCGGGAATAATCTTTCCGCAATTGTATTTCCAAGCACTCAGTTAATAATTATATTAATAAAAATTTTTTTTTGTAAAGGTTCAAATTTATCAAATTTATTGATTTTACTATTATTATAAACAGTGGAAATTTAGACAAAATTTAAAACCTAAAGGCTCAATAACCAAACAAGTTGTGTAAATAATCTTTCCGCAATTCTATTTCCAAACACTCAATTAATAGTCTATCAGAGAGTTTTTTTCATTTATATTAGTAAAAAAATTCTTTATAAAGGTTCAAAGTTCTAACAATGGAAATTTGAAATGTAAAGGCTTAATAATCAAGCAAGTTGTGTGAATAATCTTTCCGCGATTATATTTCCAAACATTTGATACATAGCTTATCAGAGAGTTTTTTTTATTTATATTAGTAAAGAAAATTTTTATAAAGGTTCAAAGTTATCAATTTAGTTGATTTTACTATAAACAATGGAAATTTAGATAAACTTTAAAACGCAAAGGCTTGTATTTTGAAGGAAAGAAAAGTAAAGGGAGGGAGTCAAGTTATTAATATTGAAATACCTATGGTTACAAATGAGCAAGAAGACAATGTCACAAGAAGTCTAACTTGGAGTTGCAGAAGGTACCCAAGGAATTGAATTCGAGACAGCGGGAGAGATATAACGGTCGAACGACAGCGCGAAATCGGGTTTTTTGGAAAGGATCTATAGAGAACATAAACATGGGGTATGTTTGCTTGGAAGATAGATGTTCGCAATTGATCTTTTTTACTAAAACTATATTAGTTCTTTCCCAAGTAGGAACTTGCAATTAATTCATTTGTCGCTACGGTCTGTGTGCTTGTCACCATTGCCATCAATGCATAGAATTGATAATTGTGAGGAATGTTCGTTCTTTCGCCAAATATAACAGTCTCCTGGGTAGGAGTCGGTGTATTGGTTTCAAGTATTTTACTTTGGTATTTGAATGATGAGTTCAGATTTTTGTTATTCTATTTGGTTTTTTTACCAGTTAACGATGATCTCTGATTATCCAATTTCGTACCAATTTCCACAAGAAATCCTCGATCTTTATACGATTCTTGATTGTGCTAGACGAGTATTTGATTGATCATTATAAAAAAACTTCTATTTGCGTAATAGATAGATGGTTTTATCTTGACTATGTCAACCGAAGCTCACCTTTGGAACACATTTCTGCCGTGTTTGTTCTTTATCAAGTGTTGTTGGAGGAACCATGGATACAGAAGAAGGAATCAAAGGTCATAGTCTGTACAGGACAATTAACCTCAGTGTTAGAGAAATGTCGATTAAATAAAAATCATTTCATATTTAAAATTATCTGAGCTCAAATTCAGCATGCAATCCAACTTGTTATCGTATTTTCCCATCCTTTCTGTTGAATGATTCTCAATATCGTCTTTCTCTATGTTTAATGGTAGTGCATTCTCAGAATGTTAAGTTAGAATAGATAAAAAATTTTTAAACTTAACCTACATTTAATTAATCTATTTCATCTAGAAAACCCATCGAACTGAATAGCCTTTCTGCTAAAGCAGAATTGATGCAGATTGGAAAAATACGTAATGCCCATGAAAATAATTATTGGATGATCCTTGATTCAATGCTTAATCAGAATCATTTTCTAATTCAATTGAAGGTTTTCTTTATAAATAATATATATCCATTGACCTAAAACAGTTAAATCAACGACACTATGTTGTGCTGGTGGAGTAAAAAGGAAAAAGGCTGTTCTAATAGACTCCTCGTTTTTTCTGATTTGCTGATCATAATAGTCTTGAAATTTTCATCTTCATGTTGTTTAGCGTTGATTTAACTTTGACGGCTATTATACGTCATGATCGCCACACACGAGTAACTTCTCCAAAGACTGTTAATGGAACAGATAAAAAGAGAATTCGTCAAATTTTACCCACATTTAATTATAAATTTAATAATTCCTGGGTAGCTCCATATGCAATAATTTTGGATTAAAATCATACAAATATTTTATTTGCCACATGATGCGAGCATGTGTTAAACCGTCAATATAAAATAAAAAACAAATAAAATATAAATAAAAAATACAAGTAAAATAAATAAAATATAATATTATTATCGTTGGTTTGTTTAATCATCGTAAACATTTATTTTTAAGCTTTTAAGTTTATCGATTGATTTGTCATGACCTTTCAAAGCAGCTTTTTTATAATTCATTATTGCTTGTTTTTGATTTCTTGGTAATCCTAATTTACCTTCATAATAGATATTTCCCAAATTATATAAAGCGGCTTGATTTTCATGGAAAGCAGCTTTTTCCAAATATTTCAAAAATTCAGCAGCCTTCAAAGGATCGCCAACCTTACTTATTATAGAGAATGCATAGCGAACCTGAGCATCAGATATGTCTTGGTCTGCGGCTTCTTTGAAACATTTAGATGCCTCTCGTAGATCTTTCGGAACTCCACCGTACCCCTCCAACAAATAATAACCCTTCCAATATATTGCTCTAGGATCCTTCAATGTCTCAGCATGATATTTGAAACATTCCCATGCCATTTTTCTTGATGTTGGACTTTTATCTTTGTGTAATTTTATACCATCTTCTAATGTCATTGTTACTTGTTCAATATCGTCTAAACTCAATGTATCTAATGAAAGATCATCATCATCAAGTTCAAGAAGAATTTCTTTACCAAGACTACTATTAGTACTACTGTTGCTAGAACTTCTACATCTAGGTGGAATCTTTGGTGAATAATGGTTTCTGTATAAGCAAGTTAATTGATTAAGAAAAAAAGGCATGTTTTGACGTAATGAGGGTTCCTGGTTCCAAGCTATTCAAAAAAAAATAAATATATATATATATGAATAAATGATTTTAATAAATATGTTTTGAGTGTAATTCAAATTTATGTAAATTTGAAATTGTCACATAGTAAGATATTAAATTTTGGGATGTTGTTAGCCTAGCGCTTTTCATGTTACAAATACCCCACAGCGATCGCGGACGATTTCTTGTTCGTAGGAATAAAGCCTCAGCCTGGGTCTGACTGATTTCTGGATATTGGTTGGATAATTCATTCAATATCGATGGGCCGGCTGATCAGATATATATATATATCCGTGCATTTATATTTATCACGAACATAATAATAGTCAGACCTACTCGGAAATCGTCCGCGTTAGATGATATCCTAGCGCAAATTTTTATCCCAATGTGACAGTTTCGAATTGATAACATAAATAACAAAAAAATTTCACCTTTTACTATTATGTTTTTGAAACATTTTTGAATATCATTCAAGTGATTAAAACTTGATATATCTTCTCTTTTGCCATTTTTGATATGTTGAGAAATTTTTACACAATCAGCATCAAATTTTTGCATATATGGAACTTGTTGAAATGACAGTTCCCAGACAAACATGCCAAAACTTAATAATAAATCAAAAATAAATCAAATCAGTTATTGATGAATTAATAATCAAATTAAAATTAATATATATAGATGGTCATTTACCTGAATATTTCACATTTTATATTGTAACGGTAATTATCAGGATCTTTGAGTTTCTCCGGGGCCATCCAGGGTATAAGTTCATTTATAGATTTAATTTGTACACTTCTATTATTATATTCTCTGCTTAAAGTAAAATTGGCAATTTTTGCTTTTTCAACATTCTCCATAATCTTTTAATTTGTTTTTTTCAAGGTGTAATTAACAAACAATTTATTATTTTTTTTGAATTAAAAATCTAAAATAAAATTAAAATTAATTACTCACCAAAATGTTTTCACATCTAACGTCATGATGATAAATTGTGCATTCATGTAGGAAAGAAAGCCCGGCACAAACATCATGGGCAATTTTTAATTTTTGTTTCCAAGTAATCTCGCACGTTTCATAAAGAGATTTTAAATTGCCATGTTCAGCCCATTCAAATACCATCACTTTACTAGCTCCACCGTCACTTGATAATATACCATAAAACCTTATTATATTGTTTGATAAAACTAGTTTGCTTAAAATTGCTAAAAGAGTATTAAAATTTTCTCCATTATAGACTTCATCTGTAAGTGGCTTACACGCTACTGGTTCAATCCCTTTCAATAATTTTTTAGTAATTTTTCCACGTTTTACTACTTCTTCTGGTTCTGGATCTTTTAAATCTCCAGGAGGAATTGTTTTGATGTTGTCAAGTTGTTTGCTATCAGTATTATTCATTGATGCAAGCGTATCCATCGTTAATTTTATATCTTTTATATCATTTGTTTGAGTAACTAAACTGGCTTCAATTGTTTCTAAAGTCTATTAATATTAAAATGATAATAATGATTTAGAATTAAATTAATATACAAAAATAAATAAAATAGATAAATATTTATTTATTCATTTCCATTTCTATTTACCAATGACATTTTCTTAAATTCGGTTTCGATTATACTTTCCAAGTCATCAAGTTTTTTAAATTCGTCAATATTTATTCCTAATTTTAAATCAGCAATGGCATCATCGAACCTTTTTACAAGTTGTTTAACCTTCACTTTATGAGAACGAGATTTAAGATATTTCATTGCTCCACCCGATTCAGCAAGCTCATCAATAAATCTTTTGATTTCAGTTGCTGCATTTACATAACTTTGAAGGCTGTTATAGAAATTGCTACTTTTGAATTTTTCTTCCTTTTCTTTTTCTTCCCTGTGTCTATATAAATCAGACAAAGCACGTGATCCCGCTTCTAATCTATCAGATAATAACAGACATGTTTTCTTGGTATAGCGTGCATCTTCTGCTGTTTTATAAGCTTCTTTTGCAAGCCTTGCGGCACAGTCAACTAATGGTAGACAAAGTCCAATTATATCCATGAAATTAATTTTTACCAAGAAAAATGAAATTTAATGAAACTAATTGACTGGTTAATAATTCTTTTAAGCAATAAAGAGAGAAAAATTTTTCTCAATAGTTTTTTAAAAAAAATTCCTCAAAGATATAAATAGAACAGGTTTTATAGTTTTTTATTAACATCTACATGCATAAACAAAAAAAACATTAGGTAATACCATAAAAAAAGTTTCATTTACTGAATTGATGGTTGATTTTCAAATAAAGTTTCCTAAAATGTAATTTGTGTATAGAAAGGTTATTAATTGTTGAAAACTATTTTTATTTTTCAACGTTTATTAAATTAATATATGTAAAATTTCAAAATAAATGGTTTACTTTGAGACAGGACAGCTTTGGATCCGGATATAATGACACTTTTACAAATTTATATAAATTTATTTTTTAAGAATTAATTAATCAGATAAAAAAACCTTATCATTTATTATTAATCACTATATAGTATTAAAGTTAGCAGTTATTCGACTCATGGCTGTTCTTGATTTTTTCAGCCTGCAACATAACAACAATCCAGCTTTGGATAGATTCTATTTTGGAATTGATTCTTGACTTATTTCAACATACCTTGAGATCACTCTACCTGCATAAAAATCCTTGTAAAAGTTATTTTTTTTTGGGGAAGTTGTTCCATATCCTTTATTTTCAACTATTGATTATCTTTTAACGTCTCTCCTGTTAATCAATCATTTAACATTTGGCATGGTTGAACTGTCATATTACTGATTTTCGTTTAATGGCTTGATAATTATCTAATAAAATTTTCAAATAAATTGTAAGAAAATGATTCTGCGCAATTAATTAAATCTACCTATTACTGTGTTTTTAGGCATTGATGAATTAATTCCAAGGTAAAATTGATTTGGGTGCAAATAGAAATTTGTGGTTGAATTTGCGGAAAAAATTCTCCATTCATCCATATCAGGCAAAGATCTAGCCCTAATATAACCAACCAGTATATGTAATACCCGAAATAATTAAAACTCACAACTGTATTGTTATACTTTAGCCATTTAATTCGTGATCCTCCAGTTAAGGAAAGAGTTTTAATTTAGTAATTGTAATCGATTTTTATTGGGTATTCGATATAAGTTGATTAACAAATCTAATATTAATGTCAATAATGTAAATCATATATTAATATGCGGATTTTTTTATGGTTCCCTTTTTACTCTAAAGAAGGAAACGGTGTAACAAAAAACTTGAATAAAAAGTTTCAAAAATACAATATATAAAGTTTATAAAGTTTATTTTTATTTTGAACGTTTTAAAACCTTTCAAGCCAAGCAATTTAATTGCAGGAGGTATATGTGGAATATATTTATTTTGCATAATTTTTTCAAGAATAGATAAATATTACAATTATGAACTTTATTGCCAAGGCTTCTGAAAAATCATCACATTTATAAAATTGTTAGAGGTTTTTAATCAGTAGACATTTCTAGAACAGTGCCATGGAATCTTTCAGGAGTTGCAATAAATAGAAGTATTATGATAAAGAAAGAAATTTTCTGTATATGGGGCATGCTGCAACAAAACCAGACAAAGTGAACATTGGTATAACCAAGAATTTCCGTGATCAAAATTTAGTCATTTGTAATGTGATTATAATTAATATCCCATTGTTATCTTAAGTGATATATAGAACTATCCCTATATAAAAATAGTTAATATGAAATTAATTTATATTAGATCTATATTATGGAACCCAAGAATTATAGTACTATTAGAAGTATTTTAAAAAAGGAACAAGGTGAAAAAATTGCTCCTTATATTTTTAAAATAAATGACACTCAAAAACTGGAAGCTTATCTAAAAAAAGAAAGGATTACCTATGAAATTTACCAAGAAAAAAGAAAAATAATAAATGTTAGAAAAAGAAAGCAGAGTGAAAGTGTACTACTACCCAACGAAAAGCAAAAATTTTTAAAAGGAAAATAGCTACCATTTGATAGTTGGAATGAATTTCAATTTATACAGAGGGAATTTCCTCAATTCTTTTTTATTTTCAATCAAGATCATCTTTTAGTCTCTTTGAATTCAATTTGAGCAGTTAATTGACCATTCTGTTGATCTTTTAATTTACTGTTTTCTTCTTCTAGATGATTGATTTTTTCTTCTAAACTCTTTATCTTATCCAACAACTCTTGCTTTTGCTTTTTACTTCATTCCTCGGATTTCTCTTGAAGTCTGGCTACTCCTTCCCTTTCAATTTCAAGTGCTTCCTCAGTAATGGTTAACTCTTCTCATAAAGAGTTTATTTGCCTTTTGTAAAAAAGTGCCATTCCTCCATTTTGATGAGGTAAAAGAGGGAGATCTTTTTCATTACCCTCTTTTTTACAATCACAAGTGTATCTGGTCTTTAATCTTCCACAACTGCACTTAGGCAATTCATCATTTTTAACTTTTCTTTACAATCTTCACAAGCCTTATCACTTTCAATCATTCCACCAGTCATTTGCTTTGCATTCTGATTTGACAAACTGCCTTTTCTAAGCTGAGGCAAAAATCACAAGTAGCATTACTGCTACATCATTCTTCCAGTTCTAAAATTGTATAGAGAAATTCTCTCATAATTACTTAAGTGGAACTTCTATTTTAGCAACAAGTTCTTGACTGTGAAATTTCTCCCTTTTAATTAATTTCAGCAACTGTTGAACCTTAGATCTTGCTTTTGTTTTTATTTGCTTAAATATGCTCTGTTTAGTTGGAATATTATTATCTTCTTCTTTAGGCAAAGCAGGTAGAGACATCCTTTCTAAATAAAGCTGTCCTTTTAATTCCACTTTTCTTTTTTCACTCCTTTCCAACATTTTTGACTTCTCCTCTACTGCATCTTGCAATCCTTTATTCTTTGAAACTTCCTTGGCAACTTTCTTATCAGCTCTTTGTAACATTTGCAAATTTTTTTTGATCTCTCCATGCAATTCATCCCTCACATTACTATTTAATTCTTGCAAAACTCCAATAAAGTCATAGTGAATTTTAGCATCTACATTAAACAATAACATTAGTAGCAACAAGTAGCAAATGACAATACGTTTTTTGAGGATGATTTCATTTTGTGGAGATATTGCAACAAGTCTTTTAAATAAATCTTTACCCTTCAAGTTGTTAAACCTTTTGATTTTTTACTTTTTTATGGTTAGTCAAAATTTTTTAATTTTGTTTTATCATTAATTATACAAACTCACTTTTTATTTTTTAATTTTTTAGTTGTGAAAAAACAGATATGAAATTAGATCTCATTATATATTTGAAATAATCCTCAATGATGATGCATTTTGGCATTTAACATTAGTAATTAATATTAGTCATTCATTATTAATATTTGTTGGACAAAATCATGTAAAAGGTCATGTTGTTTGTAATGCTTCAAGAAGTATAAATACACTTGAAATTTCCTTCAATTTTTTTAATAATATACATTTGATAATAAAAACTGCAATTAATTAATAAAGCTGGTGTGATTGATTCATAATCCTTTCTGATGATTAATGGTTTGGCCAACCATTAACTATTAGTTAGGAACCATTTTGATTTTACTATATTGCTTGTAGTGATGCCTCAAGTAGTATATTTTAGAGCATATAAAACTGGAAAGAAAACTGAGACACTTGACCAGAACTCACCTGCAATAATAGTACTGGAAAGAAAACCTTGTCCTTGACCAGAACTAGGGCTTCTATTCAAATACAATGAATAGTTCAAATAAAATGAATACAGTATATGGGGCATGCTGCAACAAAACAAGACAAAGTGAACATTAGTGTTACCAAGAATTACAGGGACCAATATTGTTTGTTTAACATCACAATTGTATCACAATATAATGTGATCATGATATTTGTCTAGACAAAAATAGTTAATATGAAGCTAATTTACATTAGGTCTACCATGGAACCCAAGAATTATAGTACTATCAGAAGTATTTTGAAGAAAGAACAAGGTGAAAAAATTGCTCCTTATATTTTCAAAATAAATGATACTCAGACACTGGAAGCTTATCTAAGAAAAGAAAGGATTACTTATGAAATTTACCAAGAAGAAAGAAGAAGAATAAAGACTTTAACACAGAACCCAGAAAGAAAATAAAATCAGTAGAGAAATAATTTGCTGCCTGACTTAGAATAATATAATGAATATATTATCTTTTAAAGATTAAAGAAGTTAAAATAGGTTTGACAAAAAAGAATTAGTATAAGTTGGTCTGGATTCCTTGGGTATTACTTCAATTATTTGCTCTTGTTTCCTTTTTAGGTGAATTTTCACAGTTATTTTTTTTGTAATTTTTTGCAATTCGTCTTTTTTCCTTGATAATACTGGCAAAGGCTTATTGGTTAAATACAATTCTTGTTTTAATTGCTGAATTTCTTGTCCTAGTCTTTGGTTTTCCTCCAAATAGTCAGCCCATTCTCATATTTCATCTTCATTTCTTTCCCTTCATTGCTTGGTTACTTTCAAAGCATCAAGGTGGCATTTGACTTTTTCTTCTTCTTCCAATAACAGTAGATCTATGAACAAAGCAATCCTAAATTTAGATCATAAATGTGTATTAATTTTTATGACAACCAATGATCCAAATGGTACCAAATTTTTATATGTTATAGAGGGGCATAGATTATAGAATATATAATTTGGACTATAAGTTGTTGAAAAACTTTACTACCCAATGCAAATTTTAATTGTGATTATCTAAAAAACAAATAAATGAAGGTCAAAATTTTTTAATTAATTATTCAAACTTGTTCTACTGGCTTGAAGTGTTTATGTAAACGTTCAAATAATAATCACAATTATTAGTAACGTTTAGATATGGTGCGCCGTATCTAAAGACATCAAATGCTGCGCCTCATGCCGAAATTTTTAACACCGATCTTTCCTGATTAA